ATCCCGAGTTCTCATTCTTATTTTGGCGTCCCTTCTCAGAAGTATGTGAAGGGTAGCAAATACATATATCAATCTCCACATTGTCTTCTAGGTAACGGCCGCGCCGACCTTGATGGTAGTGACTAAGTATAAGCACGAAGGGTCTTTTTCGACATTCAAAATAGGGCTTGGTATATATGGAGATTGGTTCAAACAGTTCGTTGATCAACTCGCAACCAGGCTCCATGCTTTACTCAACTGTTACACTATCTTTCTGCTTGCTCGCCTGACTAATGACGTGACAGTGAAGTTCCGTTTTGCCGTAGATCATGTGTAATCATAAGAGGTGATCGGTTCCTACCCACAGGGCCACTATATTCCGTCAAACCTGAGACTCCGTCCTCGAAATCTCATCCAGAACAGGACAATTCGTCACAAACTTTTTAAGTACCAGATAGTGACTGTTATAAAAGTTTCGGGAAACGAATCAGGCAGTCGAATTCGCGGCAATAAATCACTTTTGCGTACTTCTCTCTAGTTGCAGGTTTTACACTCATGGGATATTCCTTTAGTTAAATGCATACTTGCCAAGGCCTCCCAGATTCAAAAAGACGCATTCAGTAGCAAGTTCGAATATTCGACTTCATTTTGCGGCGGTGGTGGACACGTAGCCATGAACTTATCATGATGCAAAGCTTGTTGGTCATATATCGGGCCAGCCTCACAACTTGTTAAACTCACAAAATGTTTCGAGTACCTGCAATCCCAAACCGTTATATCTCTTTCTTTTTTCCAACATTCAATTTCAGCTTTCACATAGAAAATTCCGGCGCAAATCAATGATATAAGTCTGACCCAGTCTGGAATTTTTGGTCAACTTTCTTTATTCATACAGCTGTTTCAGGAGGAAGGAAAATTGGACATCTTATTTAGATTCAAGGAGAAGCGTAGTGAAAGCTTCAGCAATGTAAACTTTTCGATTCCTAATAAACGACGAAAACTCATGAAGAGAATTATTACCTTCTGTTCGGCCGGCAGCGCATGAAGTCCTCATTATTTCCATGAGAGGTTATTAGCAGTTTTGATAGAAACGAGGGTAGGCCATTTTTACAACGAAGCACGTTTCTATATGCTGCGCCACTGATTGTAAGATGGTATACATTTGTTGCTCTGTACTTAACAGGTTCTTCGGCTATATGAATTTTACAGTTGTACTGACACTGAAGACCCTTCAGGTGCCGCTCTGCTCGTTGACAGAAACTTTTCAGATACTGAGGACCATCTTGCGGTAGACGAATAAATGCCCCAAAGCTGACTTCACCATTTGAGCCTGTTGAGAATCCAAGAAGTGGATTGGATGTCGACGTCTCCAGCGAACAGTCACCTTCATGTTTTTGTAGTTTATTTAATTGTTCACCAGTCGCAACCTTTTGTGTACCATGTGGCTCACGCCCAGCCATCTCGTCTCTTACCTGTTCGAGATTATCCAACATGCCCTTTTTTCCTTCACTCTGCACGCTTGTCCCTTCAACGCCAGGGTCGACTGACTTCGCGGACGATTTAAGTAGATTTTGCAGGGCCATCTGAAAATCCTCTTCAGTGCAATCAGAAGAAACGGAAGTTGACGAAGAATAACAAGGAGACTTGCTTGTCTTTATTACTTTTTTAGCTTTTAGCCTCGTTTTGTCGCGAATACGCTGAAGAAAGGTCTGCGCATCAATGCTTGAATCTGAGGTCGATGAGGAATCGAGAGTGGAGATGGATGAGTAGTCTGAATCGTCCTCTGCATTCATGTTTGCGTGCTCTTTTCGAAACTGCCGTACATCAGATCTTCTGCTCCTGGGAGTACTCATAAGCTGAGTTTTCATACTTTGGGATCTGTAGGTCGCTTGTGACAGAGTGTCCCTGCCGAGCGTTCCCATCGTGTCTGTTTGGTCGTATCTGTACCCCCCGCTGCAAGGGGTGTGCCAACCTCTTGGAGTTGAATTGTGCCCACCACAGATTTTGTATAATCTCCTTGCATGAGTGTCTTGACTAATCAACGGGTTATGACTTGGCAGTGGAAGAAAAGAAGAGCGGACCAACCTAGCTGATGGGTAGTAGGCTATGGAGGTTGACCGACTCTTCCCACCAAGCGAACTAAAGTTGCTTTCGTTAGCTCCCATTGCCAGATACTTGTTATAAACGGAATGTCCGAACACAACGAAAATAAATCAAATGTATCTGGCCACAAAGACCCAAACGCACACTGTTTAATCTCGTTAGCACATTGCCGACTTGCTAACGTAAGCCGCGGCATGGGAAGTCGATCGATACTTCTAGCGCGCATGCAGTCATTGGTCAGATTTTAAATCGAACAGTACCAATCCCCTCTTTAGAATGGCCTTACAGACTATTAAGATTTCTGAACTCATGAAAACGTGTTAGATTCTTTAGTAGTCGTCAGAAAATGGGAACATTACCTCTGTCAAAATATTGAGTTTCCCGAATAACTTAAGTCACTAACCCCAAATGCGTCAACCTATCAAATGAATCTGTTATTGGAGAACCGGTCTGTCATTCAGTTGAATGGGTTTTATGTTTTCCTATAATTTGGAATGCATTTCAAGGCTTGTATTCTGAATTATATATAACATACGAAGTCCAATAATAGGGTTTAATAATAAGGTTTATTTGTAAAGCACATCTTCGGTGCTGTCAAAACCCCAGAAGACAGAAAAAGAACCTAAAACAAGCCCCTACTTTTGCAGTCGCTTTTGGCTTTGTTTAGGTTTATGCTTGGTCAATAGTGTGCGAAATAAGGAATTTGTTTTAAGTGAAAAAACTTGACTTCAAAGGTGCAATACTAGCAAAATATGTAATATAATAGCCAGACATTATAGGTGTTACTGTTTCGTAGTAAGAATACGTTGAGTCTGGAAAAAACTGTCTAGGCAGCTAAATAAGAAGCATGGTCGGAAAAAGACCTTCGGGATCAGTAGTTAATCGATCCAACGTGTCGCGTTCTCCTGCGAGACCATTGATAAGCATGAAGAAACATACATTTAACTCATATCGGCCAAGGTTGACCATCAACCAAACAATAAAACATATTTTGCATAGGTAACGAAGCTGCTAGTTTATTAATATGTCTACTTGTTTCCCACCAGCTATGAAGTCCACTTATCTGATTAGCACAAGCTCCGTACACAGCCAAAAGCAAAATTCTGCCCTGACGGCAGCTTCCGTTTTCCTTTCTTTCCCTCAATAAAAATGAACTTTATTCAAATATCAACGATAAAAAAACTGCAGATCCAAAGCGCCAAAACCACGATGTTTCTCGAGATTTAGTAAGTACATGCAAAAGAATAATTCTACAGTGGAACCAGAGACCATTATTCTGTAGCTAGTATACGAACATCAAAATAAATAGAAAATTCACATTCGTTAATTACGGGAGGGACAAAATTTGCCACGAATCACAGCTACGAGATGTTAGGAGATAGAGTATGCGTCCTTCGATTACATGCAAATTTTCTTCGTAACTTATTACACTTGTGCCTTAGCGGGTAAATTTTGATCAGACGTGGCTAAAAATAGTTTGATCCTTTAGAATGTGTGAGGTTCACTTATTACACTGACTACTATAATTGAACCCTGGAGCGTCAGTGTTGATGTCAAATTTGTGAAATTCATTTCGCAGAGCTGAAGACTGTGAATAACGTGAGCAATTTGTGAACTAACACAAACTGAAAATAGTAGGCGAAGATGAACAAAATATTCTTCTTCATTATTATCATCATTATCGTACCTTTTAATTTTGCACCCTCACGAAATCTCAAGACAAATGCTGCACAAAATCATTAGGCTTATCCGAAAGCTTTGGACTTCCGCCTATTTTACTTATGAACGCACTTATTATCCACATTCATAGTACTAGTTCAAAGCCGAAAACGGCGTCGCCCAAGGAAGTGCCTCCACTTTGGGTACAAGGCTTTCGCCCATCAAAAAAAGTACAACCCGTCCATTGCTTACTCCCCTCCGTTGGGTAGCGCTTACATATCCCAGGAAAATACTTCAGAGCAATCTGCCTGACTA